AACATTACTATTTTTGTTTTATTTTGTTTGCATAAAGGGAAGGAAAAGAATAATATTGGGAGGCAACTATTGGTTCATATTATGCAGCTTGCCTGTACTTTCTCCTCCACCCCATTGTGTACATAAAGCATCACTGCCAGTGGTCTGTCCAGTTTTCTCTTGCAATAAAAGCTCCCAAAGCATCCTAGAGCTAATCTTAATGTCCCGTAGCTTTTGGCAGTTAAGGGCCAGGCTAGATGTGATATTAATTGCATAAATTACCATGCTTTACAAAATGTAAATGGCTGATACAGTAGGATTGGGGCAGTTATATGTGATCCTGCTTTCAATGGTGCCTGTGAAAGTTTTGGGGCAGTCATGCTGCCTTGTTTTACATCAGCAAATGTCCTTTAACTTCCTGCTGTAACTTTTCATGCCACAAAAGTTCCAGGTCACCGCCCCCCACTCCTGCCTTTGTTGTACAATAGTGCAAGAGTGCCCCTCTTGGTCGCAATAATTCAAAAACATTGAGTAAGCATTGCAGAGTAACTAATAAAGTGGAGTTATATGTGAGAGAATCTGGAATAAATCTGCTATTTATGCACCATTATTTATCAAGGACATGTTGCAGTAGTCACTGACCTTGATTTTACACCAGGGTGCCCAAACCTTTTTCAAAGAGGGCCAGATTTGATGAAGTGAACATTGTTGTTGTTGAGGGTTTTTTTAAACAATTGTACCCCAAAGTTGCTGAGCTTTTCTTAGGATTGAAGTTGTTGAGCTTTTTGGGGGATTTTACCCCAGGAAATAAACTGCCACAGGGGCCGGATTAAACTGACCGGCGGGCTGGATTAGGCCCCCAAAATGGATTTTGGACGTGCCTGTTTTACACCATCTGCTGTATTGATTCATCTACCGGGTGAAAGCCTTTCTTGCACTATTTTAAGAGACACAAAAGTGTCATATTAAAGGACATGTTGGAAAATACAGATTGCTTTCTTGTCGTCGGTTTATAATGAGCTTCACCAGCATGTGAAATAGCAGACTGTGTGCTACTTTGCAGTTTAACATACACATCTTTATCTTGCTCATCGTTCATGATGGAAATTATGCCTGGTACGGTGAAAGTCGATGGAGAAAAACCTTTGTCCCTTCCCTATACACCGTGTGTAGTTAAACTGGCATTCACTCCTGCAAGAGGCAGCAATGGCCACCAACCTGGATGGCTTTAAGAGGGAATAAGGAGGATCAGGCTCTCATTGGCTGCTAAACATGATGGATGTGCTCCACCTCTTCTGTCAGAAGCAGTATGTTTCTGAATCTCAGTTGCTGGGAACTGCAAATGAGAGAGCTGTTGTGCCCATGTCCCACTTGTTGTTGACCTCTGAGAGGACAGGACACTGGCCTAATCCAGCAGGCTCTTCTTATGTTCTTTTTGAGGTCAGATTGGCACACTTGAGTGTGGGTTACCCCACTTTATTCTCATAAGGTAAAGGACCCCTGGACAGTTAAGTCCAGTCAAAGGCGATTATGGGGTGTGGTGCTCATCTCGCTTTCAGGCCAAGGGAGCCGGCATTTGTCCACAGACAGCTTTCCGGTCATGTGGCCAGCATGACTAAACTGCTTCTGGTGCAATGGAGTACTGTGATGGAAGCCAGAGCGCATGGAAATGCCGTTTACCTTCCCGTCACAGCGGTACCTATTTCAAACTACTAGGTTGGCAGGAGCTGGGACAGAGCAGCGGGAGCTCACTCCATTGCAAGGATTTGAACCGCCGACCTTCTGATCAGCAAGTCCAAGAGTCTCAGTGGTTTAGACCACAGTGCCACCCATTCTCATAGTAACCCTGGGATAGGCTTGGTTGAGTCAGTGACTAGCCTAAGGTGCGACTGTGAACATTATGGCTATTCATGGGTGTGAGCCCAGGCTCCCAAGCCAAAGTCCAACATGCTGATCGCTGTATGGCCCTTTGCCAACTTACTATTCTGTAACTCAGCTGCAATTTAGTGCTGCTCTTAGGAGTGGTGTAATATATCTTGGATCAGCACAGCTGCTGCATTTTTCAGGAAGCTGCCTTATGTTGAGTCAGACCACTGGTCTATCTAGCATATTATTGTCTACACTAACTGGCAGAGGGTCTCTAGGGCTTCAGGTAGGGAACATTCCTGGTCCTACCTGGACATCCTGGAGACCAAATCTGGGGCCTTCTGCATGCAAGGCAGAAGCTGTACCACTGAGCCATGACCCTTCCTTGTTTTTTTTGGACTGGACTGTCTATGAGGTCATGGCTATAGTGGCTGTCATGATGAGCTCCTGCACTGCTAAATTGCCACTACACCACTGCGTCTGTCATCATTCAGGAGACATTCATTGGGCCAGCTGTTGTTACTGATAACGTTTTGGGGCAGTCATGCTGCCTTGTTTTACATCAGCAAATGTCCTTTAACTTCCTGCTGTAACTTTTCATGCCACAAAAGTTCCAGGTCACCGCCCCCCACTCCTGCCTTTGTTGTACAATAGTGCAAGAGTGCCCCTCTTGGTCGCAATAATTCAAAAACATTGAGTAAGCATTGCAGAGTAACTAATAAAGTGGAGTTATATGTGAGAGAATCTGGAATAAATCTGCTATTTATGCACCATTATTTATCAAGGACATGTTGCAGTAGTCACTGACCTTGATTTTACACCAGGGTGCCCAAACCTTTTTCAAAGAGGGCCAGATTTGATGAAGTGAACATTGTTGTTGTTGAGGGTTTTTTTAACAATTGTACCCCAAAGTTGCTGAGCTTTTCTTAGGATTGAAGTTGTTGAGCTTTTTGGGGGATTTTACCCCAGGAAATAAACTGCCACAGGGGCCGGATTAAACTGACCGGCGGGCTGGATTAGGCCCCCAAAATGGATTTTGGACGTGCCTGTTTTACACCATCTGCTGTATTGATTCATCTACCGGGTGAAAGCCTTTCTTGCACTATTTTAAGAGACACAAAAGTGTCATATTAAAGGACATGTTGGAAAATACAGATTGCTTTCTTGTCGTCGGTTTATAATGAGCTTCACCAGCATGTGAAATAGCAGACTGTGTGCTACTTTGCAGTTTAACATACACATCTTTATCTTGCTCATCGTTCATGATGGAAATTATGCCTGGTACGGTGAAAGTCGATGGAGAAAAACTTTTGTCCCTTCCCTATACACCGTGTGTAGTTAAACTGGCATTCACTCCTGCAAGAGGCAGCAATGGCCACCAACCTGGATGGCTTTAAGAGGGAATAAGGAGGATCAGGCTCTCATTGGCTGCTAAACATGATGGATGTGCTCCACCTCTTCTGTCAGAAGCAGTATGTTTCTGAATCCCAGTTGCTGGGAACTGCAAATGAGAGAGCTGTTGTGCCCATGTCCCACTTGTTGTTGACCTCTGAGAGGACAGGACACTGGCCTAATCCAGCAGGCTCTTCTTATGTTCTTTTTGAGGTCAGATTGGCACACTTGAGTGTGGGTTACCCCACTTTATTCTCATAAGGTAAAGGACCCCTGGACAGTTAAGTCCAGTCAAAGGCGATTATGGGGTGTGGTGCTCATCTCGCTTTCAGGCCAAGGGAGCCAGCATTTGTCCACAGACAGCTTTCCGGTCATGTGGCCAGCATGACTAAACTGCTTCTGGTGCAATGGAGTACTGTGATGGAAGCCAGAGCGCATGGAAATGCCGTTTACCTTCCCGTCACAGCGGTACCTATTTCAAACTACTAGGTTGGCAGGAGCTGGGACAGAGCAGCGGGAGCTCACTCCATTGCAAGGATTTGAACCGCCGACCTTCTGATCAGCAAGTCCAAGAGTCTCAGTGGTTTAGACCACAGTGCCACCCATTCTCATAGTAACCCTGGGATAGGCTTGGTTGAGTCAGTGACTAGCCTAAGGTGCGACTGTGAACATTATGGCTATACATGGGTGTGAGCCCAGGCTCCCAAGCCAAAGTCCAACATGCTGATCGCTGTATGGCCCTTTGCCAACTTACTATTCTGTAACTCAGCTGCAATTTAGTGCTGCTCTTAGGAGTGGTGTAATATATCTTGGATCAGCACAGCTGCTGCATTTTTCAGGAAGCTGCATTATGTTGAGTCAGACCACTGGTCTATCTAGCATATTATTGTCTACACTAACTGGCAGAGGGTCTCTAGGGCTTCAGGTAGGGAACATTCCTGGTCCTACCTGGACATCCTGGAGACCAAATCTGGGGCCTTCTGCATGCAAGGCAGAAGCTGTACCACTGAGCCATGACCCTTCCTTGTTTTTTTTGGACTGGACTGTCTATGGGGTCATGGCTATAGGGGCTGTCATGATGAGCTCCTGCACTGCTAAATTGCCACTACACCACTGCGTCTGTCATCATTCAGGAGACATTCATTGGGCCAGCTGTTGTTACTGATAAAGTTGTATCTGCATGGTGAGAACTATGGGAATAAACCATGTATTGGCCCTGGTTTGGTAGTAGTGTCTAAAGGTAAAGGTAAAGGTACCCCTGCCCATACGGGCCAGTCTTGACAGACTCTGGGGTTGTGCGCCCATCTCACTCAAGAGGCCGGGGGCCAGCGCTGTCCGAAGACACTTCCAGGTCACGTGGCCAGCGTGACAAAGCTGCATCTGGCAAGCCAGCACAGCACACGGAAACGCCAGTAAGCGGTCCCTATTTATCTACTTGCACCCGGGGGTGCTTTCAAACTGCTAGGTTGGCAGGCGCTGGGACTGAGCAGCGGGAGCGCACCCTGCCGCGGGGATTCGAACCGCCGACCTTTTGATCGGCAAGCCCTTGGCGCTGAGGCTTTTACCCACAGCGCCACCCGCGTCCCCCTGGCCACCCGCGTCCCCCCGAGTAGTGTCTAGGTACTCCAAATAGGATAGGTTGGAAATACTAATTGATATAATATTAATTACAGAATACTTTTACTGCATAGTTCCATTGCTCAGTTGCTTGTGTCTTTCAATTTAGAGTATACTTTGTTACATGTATTGTTCATTATCCTTAGGAATAAAGAACTGAAAACAACTGGAAATCAAGAGATGGAGAATAACATAACAACCATTTCTCGTGAGGAACTGGAGGAACTAAAAGAAGCATTCAGTAAAATAGGTATGTGTGCAGAGCTTTTGCAGGCCCTTTGAGCTGTCCTGTTCTGGGATGGCCAAACAGATTGCCATTTAAAGAAGCATGCCATAGTCCCCCCTGAGTGTTTCATAGGCTGTCTCTGTCCCTTTAGTTTAAAGGCATTTGTGATTAGTTATGAGTGATTCCTGTATTTGTGGCCAGCTTCCACAACAGGCCACTCATTGTGGTGACTCTGCAGTTATGGAACTCATTCCCAAATGAGATTAAGTTGTTGCCCATGTTGGCTGCATTTAGGTATAAGGTGTAAACCATGTTTACCTGGGCCTTTGGAATGTAATCTGCATTTTTGCTGCCGCTACCACTTTGTATAATGTTGTTATCATGATGTTAGTTTTACTTTTTATTGTTGTGCCATGTATGTCATACTCCATATTACAATCTGTTCTGTGATTTCATTGGGAGAAAGGGAAGGATATAAGTATGAGGAAATTTAAGCATTTAAATGTGCTAGCTATGCATGCCAAAGGGAAGGGAAGAAATATCCTCTCTCTTTCTTAAAAAAATAAAGGGAAACTGATTTTGAATCATAACATTGCTCTATTTTTATGAGGAATTAAAAAAACAAACATTACTACAACATTTATTTGAAATATGCCAATTTGGATTAGGTTCTCATTCTCCAATGGAAGGACAGCTTCCTTCAGTGGAAGGGAACCTTCAGATCCAACCGTATTCACTGCTTTTTCTTGAGAATAATAATCTTTATTATATCCAGCTTCACTTCAAAGACCACAGTTCCCATCAATATTTATAATAGAATGTAAACTAATATTTTGAAGCAATTGAAGGTCTATGGATTAATCTTTTAGGATTCCCTTCCTTCCTTACACTGCTCTTCATTTTTAGTTCAAGAGAACTGTACTTTGTGATACTTGCTTATTTTGTAGAGGCTACTGTTAATAAATAACTCTACAGCTAAAGGTTATGATAATTTTGTCACTTGAAAAAAAGAAAAATCAATAGCATGCTTAACTGAGGCTATAAATTGTTGCTCTTCTCCTTTGTACACCTTTAGGGCTCAGCTTTCTGAAATGGTTCCAGAAAGCTTCTGGCTTCTTTAGGTTCCCTTTCGTCTTTATCCACAAGGCTTGCAGACAACAAGCATGCTGTGTTCTTTTTTTAAATAGCCTCTGAAAATTTATACTTCAGTGAAAATTGAGCTTTTAGAATTGGAATAAGGCAACATAAGGTACCCAGAAAGAGTATAACATTCATTGCTTTACAAAAACAGTCAGCTGTCCATTGTCAATATAGGAAGGCATAAGTATCTCAAGAGACAGCTAGGCAATCTTCTGGCAGGAGTGAGGAAGCTGACAGCAACTTTGGATCCCCCCCCCCCATTTTTAGTTGACTGTTGAAAAAGGGCTGCCATTCTCTCTAGTAGGCACTCAGCCACCTGAATTTGCTGTCAGTCTGGAATAAAAACGGGGTCACCCAAAAATAAGGTAGTGGCTCCTACAAGTTCCAGAAGCCTGATACCCATTCTATTTACAGCCATTTTTTTTTAAGATTTGAGATACATGTTTTCTAATATACCTGACATGTACAAAACAGCAGGTTGAAAAAAATAAGCATGTATGTTGCGCCCAGGGGAGAGCATTCCACGACCAGGAAGCCGTTGCTGAAAAGACCTGTTCTCATGTTGCCACCTTTTGCAGCTCTCCTTGGGGGAGGCACACAACAAAGGGCCTTGAATGATGAATGCAGGTTCTGGGTAGGTTCATGTGAGGAGAAGTGATTCCTCAGGTATGATATTTTATCTTTACAGATATCGATAACAGTGGCTATGTCAGTGATTACGAACTTCAGGATCTTTTCAAAGAAGCAAGCCTTCCCTTGCCTGGCTATAAAGTCCGGGAAATTGTAGAAAAAATTATAGCAGTGGCTGATAACAACAAGGATGGCAAAATCAACTTCGAAGAATTTGTATCAGTAAGTGAACCACTTTCTCGGGCTTTGTTGTTTACCCATAGTAAACTAGTTTAGTACTGTTGGTTATAAATGAAGCATGAGGCCATTACTAAACTGTGCTTTTAGAAGCATATTGGGTTACATACTGTAGCTTTGCTTTACACAACACACCTTTATGTACTGTATCAGCACATCAGGAATGTGAGCAGTAAAAGAATGGATTTGCCTGCCACATTAGTTGAGGAATGGCTATGGGGTTCCTGCTTCCATAACGTTCACTGGTATTCATAAATGCTATTGGGTTTGGAAGAAAGAGCTTGTGACCAGACACACTCAGAATAACAATTTAAAGGTTTATAGTTCTGATAATAAACAGAAGATCCTTCTTTATCAAATGTATCCGCTAAAATAGACTTTTTTCAGTGAAAGCTCATGCCACAGTAAATGTGTTGATCTTCAACCTGGTGGAAGAATATTTTACTGCTTTTGCTACAACAAACTGAGCAATCCTGTACGAGAAGCACTGCTGGCAGGGTGTGTGAGAGAGGGAGAGAGAGGATGCAATAGCTGCCAAATCTTACATGCACTTAGCTTAAAAGATAAAGAAGAGATCTATTGATGGTTATTAGGGATGATTGCTATGCTCTGCCTCCACAGTTAGAAGCAGCAACTGGAAAGCAGTTACTGGAAACCACAATGCTTTTGCCCATGCTGCCCCGATCTTCCCCATAACTCTATTCCATCCATTTGTTTGGCACACTTTAACCAGCACATCAGATGTGCTGGTAGGGTGTGTATTGTTCCATTACGTTGGTGGCATATATGGTGTGCAATGGGCATAGAGGGGCTTCCACCATCTACAGCCCCTCAGACAGCGTATTTCTAGTATTGGATTACTCCTTAAGGCTGCACGTCTGTACACACTTACATAGAAATAAGCTGTATTGAGGCCTGTGGAACTTAACTCTGAGTAGACATGAATAAGAGTATCACTTGTGTTGCTGCTCTTTTTGTATTAATAAACTTCCTGGTTGGTTCTGGATGCTAGCCATTTAACAAATGTGTTACAAGAGCCCAGGACTAACACAGAAACATTTATCAACCAGGTAATATTTTCAGACTTCATAAAAGCGGTGCAGAGCATTTTTGTTTTTACAAGGTGACAGCTAACCTGTGCTGGTTTTTTTAAAAAATAGTATTTAAAAGCACTTTGGAAGTAGTGCATTTTAAAGATTAATGATGCAGTAGTGATGTAGCCTATTGAAAGATGGAACTTTTCAAAGTGTCTCATCGGAAGATAGGGAGGGCTTGCATAATTGAACGGGATGATGGGTGAATATACCATATAGACTGTAATTAGCAATCTCCAGTAATGTCTGAAAGGAAAAAGAGCTTAATGGTTACATAGTTGATTGGCTATTATGCAGCTTCAGCTTCTATTATGCAGCTTTAGCTGATAACGATAATGTAAAATTATCCTAAACATATTTGCATCATTAAAAAAAATATCAAAGTGCTGCTTTAGCATAATCTGATATCACAGTATCTTCACATGCACTTTTGAGAAAAAAATCGGTGTGATATTTTGCACTAGTGATATATTTCCTTATTCTATAGAGTCCCTTCCAGGAAGATGTACACTTGCCCACTTGCTTCTATTTCACCCCCCTTAGTTATTTCCCCCCTCTCCTTTCTCTTATTTTCTTCCCTTTTCCTACATTGCTGATTTGACATTATAGCTTTATTAAAACATACTATGGTTGGGTTAACTGATTATTTGGACTGGTTGGAAAAGGATGGGAAGGTGGAAGGAGTGTGAGAGAAATTAAGTTCTGTTTGCATTTAAATATGAACTTGCCTAATTAGAAATTTCCAGAGCAATTTCCCCTAGCCTCCGTACATAGGTAAGCGCTTTCCTGGGGTAGCTCTTGTGCATTATATTTTCCGTTGTTGAGTCTGGCATGTAGAAACTGTTCCTCTCTGTTTTACTCCAGGTTATTCAGGAACTGAAAAGTAAAGATATTAGCAAATCCTTCCGGAAATCCATAAACAAGAAAAAGGGAATTACTGCAATTGGAGGAACATCACCAATTTCTAGCGAGGGGACCCAACACTCTTATTCAGGTAAATAACCTGTCATTTGTTCAAATAAAAAAAGCCTGTAGAAGTAAAGGTAGCATTTATATTGAATAGTATAAAATGGCTGAAGCGCTGATATTTCAAGGCTGACCTGCTGGATTTTCTCCATAATTCTTACTGCGCTCTCTGGAGAATCTGATATGTCTGCCAGAGCAAATATTAAAACAAAAATTAAATCATTATATGCTAAAGTTCACTTTCCAGAGTAACATTATAGTTTTATAATTAAAAGTATTCTCTGGATACACATATTCCTTGGTACATAAGGCTATTCGGACCATGATAAATTCTACATCAGGGATAGGCAACAGGATGTCCTTTAGATGTTGTTGGGTTCAAGCTGTCATCAGCACCAGCCAAAATGGACAGCATTCTGTGGTCATTTCAGGCTGAATGCATCAATTGAGGTTTTTAAGCTATTTTTTAAATGAAATTTGTTAAAATCTATGGCATAGGCCATAATACGTCCTGATTTTCCTGGACATTTCAGCGTTTTCCGCCTGGATGCTCCTTATGAGGGCCGAAGACCAGCTATGGTTGGGAAAGTCTGGACGTATGGAAACCCTGTCATAGACTGGAGAAGCTGTATATGAGAAATATAACAACTTCCTAACCACTCTTTCAGAAGTGGGACAATCTGCCTAAGAATTGTGCTATAGAATCTCTTTCCTCAAGTCTTGGATTGGATGGACCACTGAGTCCCTTTCAGTTCTACGATTAAGTTTTGTAATTGTCCTGGTTTTTGGATTGATTTAAGATTTTTCTCTTTCTTTTTCCAGAGGAGGAAAAGGTTGCTTTTGTTAACTGGATAAACAAGGCTCTTCACGATGACCCAGACTGTAAGCACCTTCTCCCTATGGACCCAACAGATGATAGCCTTTTTAAGTCACTTGCTGATGGCATCCTCCTTTGGTATGTTTAGCATTACGTTGTTGTTGTTTTTAAAAAAAGATCACACAAAAACCAAGCTGACTGGTGAGTTTTCATTTTGAAACGCATGAAGCATGATCCAGTTAAGCATGATGAAAACTCACTGATTTTTAGTGAGACAGCTAAGTGCATTCTTATTTCTCTTGATGAAATGAATAGGAATTAAAGCCTGTGTTGCCTTCATTTTGAAGCTTCTGCACTGCCCCACATACCCCTTAATAGAATATAAAAGGTGGGAGCTGCAACAAAATGTTACAGGCTAAAAAGAATGTCCCTGTTTAGGGTTGCAGTCACCTGTTTCCTCCAGGCAGGGCACCTGATGCTTCCCTTTCTCCCAATTTCTGTCTCCCTCCCTGTCCCCCGGAGAACAGACAGTGCATTCCATGGTCCTTATTGAACTGTGTTTTGTTTTTGTTTTGCTTCCTCATGCTTGCTTTCTTCTTATTATTCCTTTTTGTATTTCTACAAGCCTCGGGATTCCCCTGAACATGCTATTATACCCTTCTTGTTTCTTAGAAGGCTTGTTTTTTTGTTATATAGCTGTTGGCACTCACTGCATGAGTGGTGGTTTCATAAACACAAGAAGAGGCAATTATAAATAATTGCTGTTAGCTGGTATCAGTCTCTTTTGTATCTACATATAAATGACAGTGGCCTTGTTCGTATGTAGCAGTAAGTCATGACCAAGAAAGATAGAAACCATGGAGCGGTTGACTTAGGGCTAATTGTATTGTAACTTATAGACTATTGTAGGTAAGCAGTGTATAGCTTGTTCAAATAAATAAGCTTGCATTCATGGTTTATTTCTCTCCTATCATGAGCAGTGAGTCAGCCATGCATTTTGTTCACATAATGTTTACAAAAACATAATATGCAAACACTCCGTGGTGATGTGTTCCATAGTGTCTGCTGGTCTCAGATTTTCCATTGAGACAATCAGGTAGATTGCATTTATTCAGCAAAAAAGCTCAAATTGCAAGCTGATGTTTCATGCATTGGTTTCTTAGTACTGTTTTGTGTTTTTGCTTTTTGCTGGTGCTTTCAGTTTTGTTAACCTACATTTTTCAATTATGGAGTGAATGTATTTTTAATGACTTGATTGTTGCTTTTTATTTGTAAGTGACTTTGATCCACTCCTTTGTGAAAGAGTAAAGCAGGGTATAATTTTTAGAAACAACAATATAAATATATTTTTCTAATTGAAGAAATGCAAACCTTCTTTTCTAGCAATACACCCCCCCCGGCATGTCATTTCTGCACAATTTAAGTGGCTTTGAGGTTGCTTCAAGTGTGTGAAGGAGGAACACCCACAGCCTGATATTTCACCCCATCTGTAGCTTGCCTTGTTCTATACTAAAAAGTGATTGCTGTTATGCGGCAGCCTTTCTGTCCTAGGTTTCAAAGAAGTAAGGTGAAAGTATTGTAGTTATCAGAGTATGTTAGTCATTAATTGATTCTACAGTCAATGATCATTAAACATACAAGCGCAATGTAAACTCTGAAGTGAATAACTTTCTGCTTTCTGTATGCTGTGAAAGTGCCATAAGAATCCCAAGGATGTTGCCAGACACTGAGTCGCTTAATCTTCATTATATACAATCCATTGTGCAGTTGCCCAGACTCTACCGAGAGTCATATATGGCTTCACTGTTAATGTTCCATTTTCCTACTTCCTTGTAGTCCTACAGTTTCCAGTAGTAGATTTTATGCTATTGATGTTATTCTATAGATGGAGAAATAACATAATCAGCCAGTTTGGTATGCCAAAATCCTTTTTAATTGTTGAAGTAGCTGAAGGCTAAAATTGTCCTTTACATGAGACTGATAATAATTTTTCAGAAAGTTGTAATTAAATATTTCCCTTTTCTTCCCCAGCAAAATGATTAACTTATCCCAACCAGATACAATTGATGAAAGAGCTATTAATAAGAAGAAGCTTACTCCATTCACTATATCTGTGAGTACAGCACAACCCTAACCTAAGTATTTCAAATCTACCTCAGAAGGACTTCTTGAAAGTACTTTGCAAAATAAAAAATGAGAACAGTGCATTATTGTGGTACAGTGGAACCTCGGTTATTGAACATAATCCATTCCGGAAGACGGTTCGACTTCCGAAACATTTAACAACTGAGGCGTGGCTTCCCATTGGTTGCAAGAGCTTCTTGCACTCAGCGGAGGCCACGTCACACGTTCAAGTTCCGAAAAACGTTCAAAAACGGAACCGAAACGTTTGACAACTGAGGCTTCTGGGAACTGAGGTTTCACTTAGTTTAAATTTCCAGTTCTTTTATTTTCATCTGTTGTTGTAGCCCTATAACTACCACTTCCCGAAAATAAAGATATGTAAACCTCTGGTTATAGATAGCTTCTGGGAACATTTTTACATTTTTTGTTGTTGCAAAGCCATTGTGAATTTGTGCCACATGGTATGACCCTGTATTGCTCCAATAAGCAGTTTTGTTACATGGATACTACATTTACAGAGCAAACATGTCTAATTTTTATATTGCTATAGAAATAATTTGGAAACCCTAGAGTACATGTTCTCTGGGGTCTTCTGACAATGGCTCTTTTAATGACCAACAAGGTAAAAGTAGCAATAACAGATAGTACCTGTTCTCCATCTGGTTTAGTGACCTGGATAGGCATTTCAGAAGATAATACTGGAATAGTTATTCAGATACCATTGATTTCCATCATTTAGTTACCTTAATGACTTTCTGAAAAACTCATACAAATCTTTGCTAGAAGCCCCATCAGCGTCAGTGCAAAGTAGCACTAAGTCACATCAGCACAAGGATTTCTGCTTGCATAATGGCAACTTCCCTGGGCACCCCCTAAATCTGATCTAGGGGTTCCCCCAATCCTCCAGAACAGATTTGAGATGTATGCAAGCAGAAATACTTGCATGGATGGGACATGTTACTTTGATACCACCCATCCTTTGTTTTTCCTCATTACCATTTTATTATACTTCTATGTTTTTGCATTTGTAGTTATTGTCAACGCCAAAATGCATTTTTATTTTTCCTTTTAGGAAAACCTAGATCTTGCACTAAATTCTGCATCAGCTATTGGCTGTACAGTAGTCAATATTGGATCACAAGATCTAAAAGACGGGAAGCCACATTTGGTATTAGGACTGTTGTGGCAAATCATTAAAGTTGGGCTTTTTGCTGATATAGAAATCTCCAGAAATGAAGGTAATAATATATAAAGTCTGAAATACATGATAAAGCATGCATTTTTGTCTGATTTGTGTCTAAAGCTTGAGAAATATATGTGAAATCTTAAATGATTTTAAAAAATAAAAAAGTAAACCAGCTTTCCTGAAAATTCTTTTTGCAGCTCTTATTGGTTTGCTAAGTGATGGGGAAGAATTAGAACAATTAATGAAACTGTCTCCAGAAGAACTCCTGCTACGTTGGGTTAACTACCATCTGGATAATGCTGGATGGAAGAGAATAAGCAACTTTAGTCAAGACATTAAGGTATAGCTTGATCTCTCAAATAAAAGCAAAACAATTTTGAATCGGAACCTTTCAACTGGAACTAGCCAAGACTATAAAAGAAATATTTTTATAGCTGCATTTTAATCAAAATTAGAGATATACTGTTTAGATCACAGCATTGCCATTCACCCTTGTTCTTCTCTGCTTTCTGCAAGAGTTTCAAGTAGCTATCTGGTTAATAATAATAATAATAATAATAATAATTTATTTATACCCCGCCCATCTGGCTGGGTTTCCCCAGTCACTCTGGGATGCTCCCAACAGAAAATAATACTAGTTTTTTGCTACTTCTGTTCCTTTCTGGTGCAGGAAGAACTAAATTAATCTTATTTTCTTGCTGAGTTTATATGAGAGGCTAAAACATACTATTGCAGCTGATGTCAATATGACTCTCCTTTTCTCAGTATCTGCCCGTCAGAGTGCATCAAGGACTTTTGTTCAGATTTTTTCAATTGTTCGTTTCAGGACTCAAGAGCCTACTACCATTTGCTGAATCAAATCGCACCAAAAGGAAGCAACAGTGGAGAAACAGCTATTGTTATTGATCTTTCAGGCCTCAATGTAAGTTGTGTGCGTGTGTGTGTGTGTGTGTTTGCAGAATGTCATTGTACCAAGCAGGTGCAAACCATTTTGAATTACAAGCACAGATCAACAGAGTGCACAGAACTTGTAGAGTGTTGAATAGTGGGTAGACATGGCAGACGACACAGCGATTTCTCCAAAGCAGCTCTTTATTTTGTAAGCTGGAACAGAAACTGAACAGCAAACAGCTCAGCCGGCCTGCTTTTATAGGCAGCCAGCTGTCAACATTGTAGCAACAACAACCCAGGGTTTCCCCGCCTAAAATAACTGACGTGGACCTGAGTGAAAACTATCTACAGTATTCCCCTGCTGGCCCAGGGTGAGAACTTCAGTACATAACATAGAGCATCTGTAATGGATCTTGTGTATAGCTGGCAAAGGTCTGGACTTTTGATACTGCTTTTAAAATGAGCCATCTACTAAATTGACCTGAGCCATAACTCTGTTGACAGCATTTTGTAATTGTTCAGGTGATTTTATTAAAAAATCAGAAGCTTCCAAAAGAGAAAAGCTTAGGTTTTTATATGCTTCCAGTGTTTCTAATAAGGTGTAATTTCACACTTTTGTTTCTGAACCTTGCACTGAGCTTTGATTCAGACCTGCCCAACAAGTAGTCTGCCCACCAGGTTGAATGCAGTGCAGCAGTCATGTATTGTTGTGTACCAAGATATTGACAAGCCTACTGGTTTTGCTAAGTGGCCAGCATTGTAAAAATGGGCAGCTGCTAAGCTTCTGGCAGGTTTCAATACATTGTTTGTGGGCTACGTTTAAGCCTGGCAGATTCACTAGGTCAACATTTGCCAACCCTTGTACATTCTAGCTTTTTTGGACTGGCTCCAGCCAGCGTGGCAGTAATGACTGGGACTGATGGAAGTTGTAGTCCGAAATATCTGGACGGTGTACCTGGTTGGCTTAGGTTGTAATAAGCTGTTAGCCAAGCTTTTTCTGTGCAGTGAAATGTCCTGAAAACAAAAAAGGTTCTCAAATAAAATAAGTTTCTAAACAATTTCCTGGTCTGCAACTCAATCTAGAATTGTAATTTATGTTCAGTGCAATCTTATATTAAGATGTGGATATTTTATATAAAATGTCAAAATAGTATTTTTTGAAGTGTGAGGTTTACTCTTTATATTTTTTTCAAGGAAAAAAATGACCTGAGGAGGGCTGAATATATGCTTCAACAGGCAGACAAACTAGGCTGCAAACAGTTTGTGACTCCTGCTGATGTGGTTGCAGGCAATCCTAAACTTAACATGGCCTTCGTTGCAAATCTCTTTAATACGTACCCTGCCCTGCAGAAGCCCGAAAGCTCTTCTTATGATGTCAATTTACTGGAAGGTGAGCTAATGTAACAAACACTGATAGTGACATTAGAGAATGATGAATAATGCTCAATTATTTCATATTAAGATGTTCAGAATTTCCTTGATATTTTCTCTTCCAAAATGTTTTCACGGAAAATTCAACCCACCTGTTAACTCCTATAGAATTATCTACTCCAGTGATAGGGCAGCTGTATAAATGCAGTCCGTAGGTAAAATACATAAAAATGGGTATAAGACGATCTGTGGTGCAACGGATGCCACTTCAGAATAGCCTTTTCAACAGTGGCCAGTGTGATGCCTTTGGAAAGCATGCATGCAGGGCCTGAAGGCCACAACGTACTCCAGCTGTTACTCAACCAGCAACTTTTATTCAGAGGCCTCTAAACCTGAAGGCCCCATTCGTTTATAATGCAAGTAGCATAGAATAGATATGTCCTCTGCAAATTTATCTAGTCCTGTTTAAAAGCCATCCTAAGGGCCTACCCAGATGATAAGCCATCCATGCTATTAGCGATTATGTGAATGGCTGTTTTTCCGTTGAAGACATGAGAGCCTTCCTGTGGGTGCGAAGGAGCCTTTAACCCCCCTTTGCTCCTTGCTGTGTTCTCAACTAGATTTCTCTCTCTCTCTTTCTCTCATTCACTTGCACTCAGACTCACACTCCCAGCTTGTAGCAGGTGAGGGGGCAAAGCCTGAAGCCCAATACCCTCAACACCAGGTTTCCATCTGGATTGAGTCCTGCACCTGGAGTTTCCTTTTAAAAAGACATTCATCCACACAATTGCTAATCATGTTAATAGCATCTTGCATAGTCTGGCCTTGAGCCAGGCACCACCACCACCTCTTCTGGCAGCAAATTCCATAAATTAATTGTGCGTTACGTGAAGTGATTTCTTTCTTTTTTTCTTTTTTGTCCTGAAGCCCTTTAGAAAGAACTTATCCTTTAATAAACCAACTGTGGCTGATCATTCGGCATTGTGCTCTGGCCAACTTTTGAGAAAAACATGGCACAACTGCCCAGTACTAATTGAACTGTTACTGGGTTGCCTTCTCTCTCTCTCTCTCTCTCTCTCTCTCTCTCTCTCTCTCTCTCTCCCTCTCCCTCCCTCCCTCTCTGCATGACAGGAAACAGGAATACAGAGCTCAGATGCTAAAAGTGAGGGCCCAAATAGATATGGTATTAAATGTGTCTTTGCGTTTAATATGCACTTTTTATGTTAAGGACTGGGGAGACCACAACAGGTAGGGAGAGGAGGTTTTGCACTATCCTCTTCTGTTGTGGTCCTAATAAATATTGCTTTTTAGTTGGTGGTGATTGCATTGGGAGGAAATATTTCCTTCAAAACCAGGTTATTAAGCCACTTTTTGAAACTGATTTAACAGTTCTGAAGCTGTTAATCAGAGTATCCTGGTTTGGACAAAATGAGAAAGTGTAGTTAATAGTAGACTTCCTGGGTGGTTTGCCGGATTGTACAATGAAAGGAGCAAAGAGGCTCTTTCCTATCTCGGTTTATTAAACCAAGCTATGATCATCCAAATGTGGTCATTATCTACTCCTTCTACATTAGTTATCCTTCTACAGATTATGCCATCTACACAAATGTAGTTTATCTAAAGCAAAGCACCATTTTTTCTAGCTTCAGGGCCAAATTAAAGTTGATACTCAGAGAACCATAATTGTTCCTACTTTTTTGTTTGTTGTTTATCTTCAAAGCATTTGTCAGGGTGGGACTGGTCAAGGGGAGAAGCAGCACTGTGAAGGGGTGTGTCTAATTTTATCCCCCCTTTTGGGGTCTAAATTGCTGCCCTGAAGCTATTTGAACAATGGGGGGGAAACGTGTTTGGTGCCTGTAGGTTCTCCCCAACATGGCAAATAGCAGCTTCAAGAACAATTTAGAACAGTATAGTATGTAAATATAATCCACTGATACATATTTCTTTATGAATTCTGGTGGAAGGATGTTCCTGCATATGCTCAGTAAGAGAGCTGAAGCAAAGAGCAGCCAACATTGTCAACAGTTAGCCTATAGCACCACATGCAGTTTGGATGATGGCTGGCTGTCTCCTCTCTAATAAAGCCACAAACGCTTAATAACTTTAACCTCTGAGTTTCAGTTTCTTCACTGGGGGAAATTGAGCTCACAAGTGATGTGCTTCTTAAAGAACAGGCTAGAAAGGTATCACCTTCTGATTTTGAAGATTTGTGACAACGCTTGTGCAACTGGGTGTGATTAAGGAAGCCTGCAGCTCATATGCCTCACCAATGCTGCTGCATCATAAGAAATGGACTCATTAAAATGGTGGTGGACTGTAGAGAACTCAACAGCATGGCTTGAGAAGACACTTGCCCACTGCCTCAGATGGAAGAAACATTTGCTTTGTGGGCAAAAGTGCTTTTCCATGTTGGACCTCAAAGGCAGATATTATCAGATCTCAGTTGGACAAAGTGATAGCTTTCACCATACCATTTGGAATTGGCTTGGCAGTTGACAAACACTCCTGCTACCATCCAGAGAGTTATGCCAAGTGTCATACATGACATTCATTTTACTGAGACAGTAGCATTCTTGGAAGATTTGATGATTTTTTTCCAGCCACTTGTGAGTAAAATGTGAAAGTTCTGAAATGTTGATTGAAGTTAGCACTTTCAAACAGTAAACAGTTTCAAACATTTATAAAATATTTGGGACATGTTACTTCTAAGGATGGATTCCACCCAGATAAAAAGAAAACACATGATATCACAGCATGGCCAGTACAGTGGTGCCCCGCAAGACGAAATTAATTCGTTCCGCAATTTTTGTCGTCTAGCGAATTTTTCGTCTTGCGAAGCACGGTTTCCCATAGGAATGCATTGAAAATTAATTAATGCGTTCCTAGGGAAACCGCTTGCCAGGCTGGCGGTGCGGAGAAGGGCTTTTCTCCCCACCGCAAGCCTTCAGCACAGGTACGGGAACAGAGGGGAAGGCGCGCAGCGCTTTCCCTCTGTTCCCGGGGCTTGCGTGGGAGGAGGGTTTTTCCTCCCCACCGCCAACATTCAGAACAGCATTCTGAATGTTGGTGGTGGGAAGGAAAACCCTTCTCCCACCCCAAGTCTTCAGGACAGCCATCCGAAGGCTGGCGCGGGGAGAAGGTCTCTCCGCCCCCCCCCCCCACGCCAGGCTTCGGTGCATCTTTCAGAGGCTGCTGCCATAGTCACGCGTCACTTCTCCAGCTGGGAGAGGGTCGCGGGGCTATGGTTTCTTTAGCCCCGCGCGCGCTCTCCCGGCTGGAGAGGTGACGGGCGCCTATGGAGGTTCCTGCCATATGCGCGCGTCACAACTCCAGCTGGGAGAGGGTCGCGGGGGGCTGGTTTAGCCCCGCGCGCGCTCTCCTGGCTGGAGAGGTGACGGGCGCCTATGGAGGCTCCTGCCATAGGCGTGCGTCACTTCTCCAGCTGGGAGAGGGTCGCGGGGGGCTGGTTTAGCCCCGCGCGCGCTCTCCCGGCTGGAGAGGTGACGGGCGCCTATGGAGGCTCCTGCCATAGGCGCGCGTCACTTCTCCAGCTGGGAGAGGGTCGCGGGGGGCTGGTTTAGCCCCGCGCGCGCTCTCCTGGCTGGAGAGGTGACGGGCGCCTATGGAGGCTCCTGCCATAGGCGCGCGTCACTTCTCCAGCTGGGAGAGGGTCGCGGGGGCTGGTTTAGCCCCGCGCGCGCTCTCCCGGCTGGAGAGGTGACGGGCGCCTATGGAGGCTCCTGCCATAGGCGCGCGTCACTTCTCCAGCTGGGAGAGGGTCGCGGGGGGCTGGTTTAGCCCCGCGCGCGCTCTCCTGGCTGGAGAGGTGACGGGCGCCTATGGAGGTTCCTATGGAGCTGTTCCTGGAACAGCTTTCCGAAGTGGGGCGGCTGGGGCAGATGTCCCCGCCCCCCCTCCCCGCTTCGGAACAGCTTTCTGAAGTGGGGCGGCTGGGGCAGGTGACCCCGCCCCCCCGCCCCACTTCGGAACAGCTGCAAAAGACGTCAGGGGGAAGCGGGGAAGCGAAGCGCTTCGCTTCCCGCTTCCCCCGGACCTCTTCTGAAGCAAGGGGCTGGGGGGAGATCGCTATCTCCCCCCAGCCCCTTGCTTCAGAAGAGGTCCGGGGGAAGCGGGAAGCGAAGCGCTTCGCTTCCCCGCTTCCCCCGACGTCTTTTGCAGCAAGGGGCTGCAGGGAGATCGCTATCTCCCCCCAGCCCCTTGCTTCAGAAGAGGTCCGGGGGAAGCGGGGAAGCGAAGCGCTTCGCTTCCCCGCTTCCCCCGACGTCTTTTGCAGCAAGGGGCTGCAGGGAGATCGCTATCTCCCCCCAGCCCCTTGCTTCAGAAGAGGTCCGGGGGAAGCGGGGAAGCGAAGCGCTTCGCTTCCCCGCTTCCCCCGACGTCTTTTGCAGCAAGGGGCTTCAGGGAGATCGCAATCTCCCCCCAGCCCCTTGCTTCAGAAGAGGTCCGGGGGAAGCGGGGAAGCGAAGCGCTTCGCTTCCCCGCTTCCCCCGGACGTCTTTTGCAGCAAGGGGCTGCAGGGAGATCGCTATCTCCCCGCAGCCCCTTGCTTCAAAAGAGAAGACCCGCTGTCCCCGGGGCAAGCTTCGTTTTGCGAAGCAAGCCCATAGGGGAATTCGTCTTGCGAGGCAAATCGCGGACGAAAAAACCTTTCGTCTAGCGAGTTTTTTGTCTTGCGAGGCGTTCGTCTTGCGGGGCACTACTGTACAAATTATTAAAGAATTGCACAGCTTTATTATTATTACTATTTACTGGATACTGCCAGGGGTTTGCAAACCAATATTCCATTTTTGCAAGACCTTTCAATTGCTTTCTTGCTGGAGATGGAAAGGGGAAGAAATGGAATGGAGGACAAATACTTGAAGATAGATGGAATGAAAATTTTCAAGATGCTTTAGAAACTTTAAAACTGAGTCTCACTTTTGCACCAGTTCTTGGGTTTGCTGATGGAAAACTTCCATATACTCTTCGTTCTGATGCATGACACACTGAACTAGGAGC